TGGGTTTTGTTACATTCCTAGCTACCCCCAAGGCTGAGATTTAAAGCAAGCTCATGTAATGTCCAGGGAGCCCCGGAAACCTGAGAGGAGCCATTTTTGACATCTTTGAACTGCCCCCGTTGAACATTTTCCTGGGGAACTTCCCCAGCCTGCCCGGAGAAGGAGGGGCTGTCGATCCAGGACACCAGGCGAAGGGAGAGTCCCTGCTCTGTTAAACTACCTTCAACGCACTCGGCCACTCTAACTCTGGAGCCCTTCCCATCTCCCCACTGGCCTCTCACATGCCTGCTTTCCCCACAGCCAGAATGCGTCCGCCTCTGGGCTGTGGGTGGCAGCCTGGCACAGTGCTGCACATGAGGGTGGGGAGCGAAGGCAGCAGGATCCTAGCTGGGAACTGCAGTGTGACCCCAGCCCCGGGGACCACTCGAATCCCTAGGCAGGAAGACTGCACCATGCGTGTTGGCAGCTTTCGGGGGGGCTGCCCATCGCGTAAGGGGGCCGGGAGTGTCAGAGGGGGCAGTGAGGTGATTTACAGGGTGTGTCAGAGCTGAGCGGATGCCTGGGTTTTCTCTGCCCCAGTGTGGGACGGAGGAGCTGGGGACACCAGGGCTCCCTCATGCGCAGGTGCTCGGCTGTCTGGCCAGGCCGTCCCGGCGGCGGGAGGGGAAGGCTGCTGGACCTGGGTGGCTGTAGGCGTGTGCTGGCCTGACACACACATGGCTCTGCGTACTGTGTGGTGGGGTGTGTGCTCTGACCCGAGAGGCGGAGGGTGTCAGGCATGCCAGCAGTGCTGTCCCGGGACACGGCTGCCTCTGCTAGACACGTGCACCTTGGCCCTGTGCCCTGCCTGCATGCGGCTGGTCGCAGACATTCAACTCCCTTTTGCAGAGCTCGCTTCTTGGAAAACCTGGTTTCATCCCAAAAGGAGAAGCTGTCTGCGATGTCCAAGGGACGGCTTGACGTCCTCGCCGAAGCCATTCCAGGGGGCGGCCAGCTCAGCCCAGAGCCACCCCCAGCAGGTACGCAGGTCTCGTGTGCCTGGTGCGTGCCATGCAGCCCAGAGGGGCGGCGTGCCACCCCCAGCAGGTACGCAGGTCCCGTGTGCCCGGTGCGTGCCATGCAGCCCAGAGGGGCGGCGTGCCCACCCCCACGCCAGGTACGCAGGTCCCGTGTGCCCGGTGTGTGCCACCCTGCCGCTGCCTGTCATTTCCAGCCCCTCCCTTCCCAAGTGACCAGGAGCCAGGCTGCAAGGTCTCATCACAGCCCCCTCCCTTCTAGGGCCCAAGAGCACCTGGGGGCAGGGATCCAGCTCCAATCCTGCTGCAGGCCTTGGCCCCCTGGGCGTGTGCTCCGGACAGCTGGCAGGACCATGGGGCTCTGCCTGGCTCCCGTGGGAACGCACACAGACGCTGCGCATGGGATGTGGGGCTGGCTGTGCAGGTACCAGCCAGGCCAGTGTCTGTGTGAGCAGCCGCCAGATGCCGGGAGCCCCCTCTCCCCCGGAGGAGTGGGACCCGCCCACTAGGGAAACTCCCCACCATTGCAGGGACTGCACACACGCCCTGGGGGTGGGAGGGTGACGCCCCAGGGGCCAGCCCACACTCCCCACCTTGCCCCTGCCCTGCCTAGCGGCACCAGGCTGCCTAACGACTGCTGTGTCCGGGCTGCAGGGAGGCTGGCGCTGAGCGAGGAGAAGGAGCAGAATGAGACGGCGAACGAGCAGGAGCCGCGCCTGCCGTCAGTCGGGATCGCTCCAGGGAGGGACGAGAAAGGAGACGGCACATCAGGCAAGGACCCGCCCTGGGACACCCTGTGGCCAGATGCTCCTGCAACCTGAGTGACCCTCTGCTCCCCTCCCCCAAACGCGCCTGCTTCAGTCACTAGGGACCCAAACCCCCACCACCTTGAACCGCCTGGCGCTTCCCGGAGCCCCCTGCTGCTTGCCAGGCTCTAGCATTCCCGCCCAGTTGTGCCAAGCGGCCGCCTGTCCTGCCACCCCAGAGAGGTGCATCTAGTGCTGGGGGTGGCCTTTGCTGCAGCGGGAGTCACTGACCTGGGGGGCCCTGGGCAAAGGGGCTGTGGCAGTGAGAGCGGGGGGGGCTGGGCAAAGGGGCTGTGGCTGTCAGTGAGAGCGGGGGGGGGGCGGGGGGCGGAGGGGCTGGGGGGGGGGGGGGGGGGGGGGGGGGG